TAGGGTTTAGGGTTTAGGCTTCTCTAAGATCACAGAACGAAACAAATGATCGGAATCTCGACACCCTCATCCCCCAGATGCCAGTAAGCCTGCAGAAACACACATCCTTCAAGCCTGAGCTTGGAGGCTTTAGGGCCTTGAGCCCCTTAAACCCGAACTTTACCCTAGTTGGGTCGCGGAGTGTTGTATACGTATGCGTTATGCATCTTATGTTGTATGTTACATACCGATGCGGGTGTCACACATCATATATTTAGCGGCTCTAGAGATTTCTTGGACAAAACATGACAAAACCACAAAAGGGCCACCTAGCTGTCGTCGCCGGGCCTTCTTTCTGAATTGCTTCACAGTTCAAGCTTTGGGGTTTAATTAGAGTGGTTGCGTTTCTCCTCTCCCTCTGGCAGTGGATCAAGAAACCACATGTCAAGGGCATCTGACTGCCCAAAAAACCCTCATGAAAACCCTGACCCACCAGTCGCAAGCCTCAACCTCCGATCCTGAAAGCTACGCCAAGCCCTGACGGTTTAGGGTTGGGCTCTAAGGCGAGTCTCGGTCAGACTCGGTCAAGCCCAATACAGACCTCAAGCTAATTATTATTTTGAATAATAATGAACTTGAGCTTCTCTTTGGGGTGGTATATCCTGTTCTGACTTTGGAGGGACGGCAGGGGATACGATGACTGTATCATCATTCAAGCCTCTGTGTGACCGAGACCCGTAAACCCCCCAACTTTAAACCCCGAGCTCGAAAGTCCCAAATCCTACAAACCCTAAACCCTAAATTCCTAAATTCCTATCCTGAAACCCCTAAAACCCCAAAAGCCCAAACCCTAAAGCCCTGTAAACCCCAGAACTCCGAATCTTCAGCTGCGAGGCATATACCGCGCTATGGAGCAGAACTTGGATCCTGGCTGGACCTGATCTGCGTTGGGTGTGACGGCTTAGGGGGTTTAGGGGCTTAGGGTTTGTAGGATTTATAGGGTTTAGAGTCTAGGGTCGTAGGGTTCAGGGGTCTAGGATTTTAGGGCTTCGGACTTGAGGTTTTGGGCTTTTGGGGTTCAGGGTTTCGGCTCTAAGGGTTAGAGCTTCCGTGTTGGCTTGCAGTTTCGGGCTACGGATATTACGGCTTTGGTGCCGTGTGGGCCGCGGAGTACCTTGTCTCCCCCAAAACCGCCAAATTGTAAACCCTAAATCCTCACATAGCAAAGCACCGGTGGAATCTTGTTGATCATTGCGACGGAACATTTGTAGAGGTCTTCCCCCTTCAGAGTTCCGTTCGCCGTGCTGCGTGACTTGCTTCTGATGAAAGCTTCTCTAATCGTCACATGCGGCACCCGAGTAAATCCAGCAGGCATCTGAGACTGCACATTGTTGGTATATGTTGCCATGCTAACTGGATACGATGTTGCGATGAAGGCATTCGAGGGTCAAGGAACTCAAGGTGTTAAGTTAACAGTTTAAGGGTCTAGAATTTCGGGTCTTAGGGTCCAGTGTTTATTTACAGGTGCGTTAAGCTTAAAGCTTTAGGGTTTAGGGTGCTTGCCTGACCTGAAAATCTGCGCTGAGGCTAAGTGTTCAGCTGCTGAGGCTTTCTTCTTTCCCGAAGCCATACGCCCTATAAGACTGCCCGATCTTTGGACCTTTAAACCCTTTCCTACACCCTACCCAACAAACCCTAGACCCTTTTAACATCCCGTTAAGGACCGCCCTGTAGTAGAATCCATTGAGAACCCCAAGGTACCCATGAAACCCCGAGCTTCTGAGGCCATGTGCCGGTGCGAGGTCTATGAAGGGAACCTCGGCCCACCTGCAAGACATGGATGTTCGGGTGAGGGCTATAGGGTTTATGGATTAGGGTTTTGGGGCTTAGGGGCTTGAGGATTGGGCTTTATTGAGTAAAACTGGGGTTTTAGGTTTCGGGTTCAGGGGGCTTGAGGGTGACAGGGCAGGGTAACAAGGAATTCAGGCATTAAGTGCGTTTGGGGCGACTAAATCGTTTGGAGGTTGGAAAGTTTACAGACTCCTGCCCATAACAGGGAATGTAAGAGGTGTCCTCATATTCAGGTCTTGCGCCGATTGATGAGGGTCTAATCTACGGGGACACGGAAGTGCAGCCCTCAGCCTTTCGCGAAATGGCCGAAGGCTGCCCTCACAAGACCTTCAATCTTCCATGCAGCCGCTATATGCGGTTTAGGGTTTAGGGTTTAGGGTTTAGGGTTTAGGGTTTAGGGTTTAGGGTTTAAGCAAAGTTGGCCCCGAAACGCGGTGCGTAAATTGCAAGTCTACCACATGAAAGGCAGGGATTTGGGGTTCAAGGTGATCTTCGGTGTATGTTCGGGCGCTTCGGGTGCTACGCTGCCGTGAACCCATGACTCTCTGGTCCTGATGGCATGCTTCTGGCATGGTCTCTCGCTGTTGGGGGGATTTCCCCTGGCATAATATAAAAAAATTAAGAAAAAACAAGAGTCCGAATACAAACATCTAGCGGCTCTAGGCACCAAGCGGGCTAATGGCACGTGACTGCACAACCCATCCCGACCTGCTCAGCCTAACTTTAATTGTTACCCCCATGGGCTCACATGCCGGGTGGAGTCTTCAGGGGCCAGGATATGTGGCCTTTAGGGTTCGGGGTTTGGGCTGTGCTTCAAACCCCAACGCCCTACAACCCAAACACTGAACCGCGTAGCCTGAGATCTTGCTGAACCCTAAACCCTAGAATCTGAACCCCAACCCTAAATCCTGAACCCCAGACCCTAAAAGCCCTCAACCCTCAGTGTTAACTTCAGGAGCCTTTCGCCCAAAGCCGTCTTCACGATGAGCAGCAGCTGTTCAGTACTGGGGGATCGGCCCTCCGAGGGCGCCTCCTCGACTCTTTGTGGGCTTAGGGTTTAGGGTAAGGGATGTAATTTTAAGTTACCATAATAAAGAAATCATATTATTTACTATAGATGCCTATTATGGTAGCTTAAATTAAATCCCTCAACAAGAACCCATTTTAGGGCTCAGGGTTGTGAGCTCCAGGGTTTTCGGGTTTAGGATTCAGGGCTCAAGAGTTGTCAGGGGGGTTTCGGGTTCAGGGGTTGAGGGGTTCGAGGTTTAGGATTTAGGTCGGTCGGGGTGATGGCTCGGGGAGTTGGGATTTAAGGCTCAGGGCGTAAAGTCTAAGGACGTCAAACCGAGATAACATCAGACAGGAAGCGTATCATCTACTATATATGCCGGCTATGGTAACCAAACGGAGCGCTTGAAGAAGCACCCAGATGTGTTTGACTCTATGGTTACCGGGGAAACCTAGAGGATCTTGCTTCAATCTTATATGTTTTGCTATCATACTACGAGTTGTTCAGGCCCAGTTGCTATAGGTTTCCACGGAGACTCGAGCTCGAGTTGAACTTGGGATTGAGAGTTGCGGTTTATTTAGGGTTTAGGGTTTAGGGTTTAGGGTTTAGGGTATTGGCCGTATGCATCGCCAGTGTGGTGCTATGCAAGCCAGAAGCCCGTGCAAGGACCTTGTTGACCATTGCCCTCAACCCTGCAAGCCCCGCAATGACCGAAGACCTGTTACTGCAGAGGAGAGGGGGCGAAACCCAAAAAAAACCTACACACCCAACCCCCCAAGCCTAAAAGCCTAAACACCCTACAACCCTGCAAGCCCCGAACCCTGCATCTCTCAACATGGAAACGCCTCATCCGAGTCAGCTGTCGGCTCCCCACTGTCACTGCCCTCGGAATTTTAGGGTTTTGGGTTTAGGGTTTAGGGTTTAGGGTTTAGGGTTTAGGGTTTAGGGTTTAGGGTTTAGGGTTTAGGTTTTAGGGTTTTAGGCTTTTTACAGTTTCGGCTTTGCAGGGCTAGGAGCCTTGGGATTTGGGTGAGCAAACCTCAGTCATTCAAAGGCGGGAAGCCCGGGTATAGGAATTCGAAGTTTACATTTTGAGCTTGGGTTCTGCAGTCATTGGTTCCGGCTTGGGGTTTGGCTGCTGGGATTCGAGGTCTAAAGCTCTGAGGCTCGAGGTGCGGGTCCTCCACCCCTCTACGGTTTAGCGGTTTTTGGGGGTTTAGACTTTCACTGACAAGACTTGAAGGTCTGTACACAGAACCTCAGCCACCAAACTTTGTAATGTCATTCCCTTCTTGATTCCCTATATCCCCTTTATAGCTTCCTACCCCATTTAGAATTTCATATATCCCCTTGATCGTGCCTATATCAACGTACATCTTCAGCACGGAGTGTGGGGTTCGAAAAAGTCCAAACATCCGTCCAAAGCCCAAAACCCAAAACCCTTCAAAGCCAAAAACCACGTGGCCAAATTCAACAAAGAATCCTCAAGTCCCCGAAAAACGAAAGGAGAAGAATAGCAAATCCAAAGCCCGAAAAGCCCCCAAGCCGCTCAAGTCAAAAAAACCTCTAACTCAGTTCTGATCCCCCACTCCTTTGCCAAAAAACTGCCTAAATCCTAGCTCCCAAACCCAAGTTCCCTAAACCCAAACTGCTTCAACTCGGTTTGGGGGGGTGTATTCCACGCTTCATGATTCTAGTAAGGGAACCCCTAGAATGGTATGGTAACTATGCAGGCCCCAAAATTACCCAAACTCCGGGAACCAGCGGCCTCCCCATCGGAGTCGTAACCTGGAATTTGCTCCCAGCAACTTTGGAGCATCTCCTCGCGCAGGCTCCGAAGGTTTTTTTGTACGTTCTATTGGGCGGTAAACGGCTCTGCCGGCGCTGTTGGCCTGGGATCTTTGGGCCTTTTTTGGACGGGGCTTTCAGGATTTACCAGGCCGCTTCCAACAGTAAAGCTTCCGGTGTGCCCGGAGAAGGCAACCCTAAACTAAAAACCCTACACCCTAAGGTCGGCGCTGCAGTCTTAGGCGTTTCGGGTCCCGTAGTAGTGGAGTTTGTGCTCTTAGAGGGCTTAGGGCGTAGGGTTTGGGGCTTAGGGGTTTCTAGGCCTGAGCTCCGACGTCTTCTGCAACATCTCTGCCAAGCTCTGCCCTGCCCTTGCATGAACTAAGGAACTAGGGTTTAGGGTTTAGGGGTTTAGGGGTTTAGGGTTTAGGGTTTAGGGTTTAGGGGTTGAGGGGTTGAGGGGTTGAGGGTTTTTAGGGGTTTAGGGTTTAGGGTACTCCAGGAAACCCGTGACACATGAACCCGTGTCCTTTGAGGTGCACTGGAGAGCATGGGGTGACTCTAAATCTAGAGCCCCTTCCTCAAAGCTGGCAAAGCTGGTGTGGTGTGCTTGGTTGCTGTAGCCGTGGTCCTGAATCAAGGCCTACATTCACATCCCATAGTTGGGCTTCAGGCTTCGGGGGCTGCACATGAAGGTGTAGGCGGCGGGGTAGGGTTGTTTGATGCACTGCGAGAGCATGTAGATGTTGCAAACTACCTCTTTTCCTGGTGCTGTAGATGCTTTTTTGGTTGTGCTGATATCGGCAAAACCATGAACATACCAAACCCTAAACCCTAAACCCTAATAATCCTAATACCATCTTTCTCTTATACACATGGTTTACACATGGTCATGGTCTCTACTAGGCGAGATCCTCTCGGCACAAACCACCGAGAGTCTCGACTCTGGAGCCGCGCGCGAGGAGGCATCGGAGGCTCTCAGGAATGCCCGTGAGCCGTTTTGGGGTTTAGGGTTTAGGGCTTAGGGCTTAGGGTTAGGGTTTAGGGTTTAGGCTTTGGGTTTGGGGTTTAGGGTTTAGGGCTTGGGTTGGTCTTGTTGTTTCTTCGTTGTTTAGATGTTTTCGGGGGCGGCGGTTGGGCAAAATCCTCTTTGAAGCCTTGATTAGTCCCACCAAAGGCGGCTCGCTACCCAAAGACAAGCACGCAAAAGGCTATGTAACTCGACGTCGTGCGGCTTTAGGATTCATAGCAGGTCTCGGGGCCTAACGAACATCGCTGACACGTATGGCCCCCGCATCCTGAACCCTACATCCCACAGCATAGTGAAATCAGCAGGAATGGCAAAGTAAGCGTCGAAAACTCTAAAGCCTTCCGAGAGGAAGGCTCTCGTCACTGTTGCCGGGGTAATGACCCTCAGCGATATCTCCTTTTCCGGCTGCTCGCAGTGAACTGCGTGGCTGTTTGAGACTCTCAGCTTGGAAGCAGGAAAGTTCATGAGACTCTCATCCTAGACTCTGAAATGCCATCAGAAACCCCATATTGAGACCTTTTTCGTAGAGCCCTTATAGACCTAGGGTTTAAGAGTCTCGGGTTGGAAGAGGAGGCGTCGGTTCAGGGCTTCTTCGTCTCAATAGCAGAAAGTTGAGTCGACTGTAAACCCCCAACCCTAAACCGCATATGTGTATAAGTGCTAAACTCATATCCCAACTCCAAACTTAAGACCCTACATGCTGTCTGTTTCGGCGCTTTTTACTGTTTAGGATTCAGCCCTCAAGGGCTTTCTGAGCCATGCCTTTAGATGCGCTCGTAGCTTACTAAGTAAGGACCTTAGTACTCAGAGGTCCACAGGAGATCAGCGGGTTGGGTACCACCCGGTATACTTCTCCGGGTTGAACCGTTCACCGCAGTTCCTCCATGAGCTCGTCTGGCGTGGTGTCTGGCCATTTCTCCAAGCGATCTCTCAGTATCTTCCTGATGAGCAAAAGTGCTTGCAAACGACACTATAAAATCGTGACCCTATTTCTTTGTCTCTGCTTGCCTTATGCCGGTTCTCAAGCCCCAAAAACGAATGCCTTCGAACGCAGAAACCCATCTCTGAATGATGGCCAGGTCTCAATAGGTCCTCGTACAGCTCCCCGACCTTGTCATCCGCGGATACGGAACCAGCTCCACGTGTAGCGAGGGGCTGCTTCAGGAGTTCGCTCGTTTCCGTCACCTGATGCCCCCAGGCCCGCCCTCCAAGCAGATACATATCCTATGTAAGACAGAAGCCTGCTTCATATGCATCTAGTTGCGGGAGTTGTTTGTCTTGTAGGTCAAGCTTTCGGAATCATCCCTAGACTAGTTTCAGAGATGCTGCAGATCCAACTTAAACACCTCAGTTTCTGTTGCGATACGAACATCGGCACTTGTTCTGATTCTCTCCCAATAACTCCCAATGAACTGGGTACTCCATAGAGTGCGCCTGGTACACCCTTCTTACTGCGATGCTCAAAACTTGAACTCTCACACCCCAAAGCGACCAACTGGGCCTTGGGTCAAAACTCCTGGAATTCTCGGCGCCAGTGCTTTGGGTTTAGGGATCTTTCGGGCTCAGGATGAGGGGACCAGGGGTCCGTGGGTTTCGGGCTCACTGTTTTGAGGGGTCAGCTCATGGGCCCGAGATACCTTCGCTCTCTACAAGATAGGCAAAAGCTTTAAGCCCTGAGCCCGAAGGGTTTAGGGTTTAGGTTTAGGAAAGTGCTCCAGATCGGCCGAGGGGCGATCTTTGCAAGAGCCCCCGAGCTCCCCCACCTCGGCTGCTTATTTCAAAGTAGACGACGGTGGGCTGGGGTTTGGTGTTCTGGGCTCCTGCAAAAAATATTGCAGAGTATCATGCCGAGCAAGAATTAGCAGCTTTGGTTTGAGCTAAAGGTTCTGGCTCGAAAGCTCTTGTTCTGTCTATTGGGCATTTTGGTGTCGGGCGACTGTGGGGACAAAAGCGAATGTGACTTCACGACAGCAGCGTGGGACGATCAGGAATAGGGCTGTGCGCAGCGCTTCGTTTCAGGACCTGCAGGCCCTACACCATATACTTACATACAATTGAAGCGCTAAGGACCACAGACAACAATAAACCCTAAGCATCAAAAAGCAAATCAAATGCAATGAATTGAACCTGAAGACTTCATGCGAGTCGTAAACAGAACACCAGAAGAAAGGCCCCGGCGCTCCAAAAAAGGCGTACTTAAAGCCCCCAAGCCCCGATGCCTCCAAGATAACAAAAGCCCTGAAGCACCGAACCGGCGATTGGAGTTCTGAGCTAGGTCGTGCTACTTGCCAATAGCTGGGGTCCTATATCTATATATATACACACACACATACGTATACATATATTGGGGATTATTGGCCCTTTCTAACCCATGGGGGGACAGCCCGTGCCCTCGTAGTAACTAGAAAGACACATCCAAAAGGCTCCCGCGGGCATAAAGGAAGAGACTGGCCACGTTTTGTCCGGTGTCGTTGGTGAAGGCCGCATATCAAGATTCTCTTGGACGAAAACAATCAACTCCTGCTTCAGTCGATGAGGGGGCCAGGAGTTCATTTCCAGGGAGTAGTCCATGGTCTCGTTGCGCACTTTTGCTCGGACTTCAACTTGGAGGCAAAGGCTGGCATCTACGTCGGGCGGAGGCCGCAAGGAGTCCACAAGGCGGATTTGGCTGGTCTCGAAGCCCAGGTGCTGAGCAACCAGCTCCTGGATTCGGGGGGCCTCCATGTCTTGCGGGAGTTGAAGTTGGAACTGTCGCCCTTCCGGAAGATGGACAAAGACGTTTCTGCGCTCGCAGTCGCGCTCGACATCTGCATGAAGGCCTTCATTGACACCTGACATCCAGAGCACTACCGAGAAAGCTGAAGATGAGGGGAATTCGTTATACTAGTCCGTGTCAGGAACCAGGACCTGCCAAATCGCCGCAAAACCAAAAACAATTAGCACTCCAGAACCCAGTCACTGTCCAACAGCATCTTCTGCGTATACTCATCCAGATTCAATGCACGCAACACGCTTTCAAGCTTCAGCTTCTTGAAACATAGGCAGCATCTGCTATCCACCTGCGCCCAAGTGAAGAATTGCATTCGACGGTTTAAGGACTCATAGGGTCGAGCTTCGGAGCGCATAACGAGATCACGGTGCAGCAGGCGGTAGCAGAAATAGGCCAACATGTAAACAAAATGCACGACGATAACTGGTACAGTAGCTGGCAGCAGCAAAACCGTCGATGCACGCTCCTCGTGCTTGCAGTGGTAGATAATGTCGGTGATAGTGGCAGGGGCAGCCGTACGAACAATAGTGGAACGGTCAGACTAGCGGTGGCAGGAGCATGAGCAGCAACAATTTCGCAGGAGCCGGAGCGGTTAGTAGTAGCCGAAGTAAAAGCAAGCACAGCAATTGCTGCGGCAGCCATAACCGCAACAGCATTTGTAGTAGTAGTCGTCGTCATCGCATCGTCGTAATCGCATCGTCGTCGCCGCCGTGGTCGTCGGTGGTGGCATCGTTGCCGTCGTAGCGGTAGCTATGTTAGGAGGAGTCGTCGTCGTGGTGGTGGCAGTGGTGGCGGCGGTGGTGCTCGTGGTGGCGGTCGAGGTAGCGGGAGTAGCAGTGTTGGTCACGGCCGCGGCCGCAGTCTTGGCTCAGAACCTGGTGGCGACAACGCAACCAGTGGTACAACCACAACAACAACAATAGCAGCAACTATAACAATCTCTGTCAATCAACTGCCCAATCTAAGTATACTAGACTCAATGCAATCATGGCAAAAACTGGGAAGATCTCATTGATTGCTCGATAAGCCACTCGATAGCACTAGACTCATCTTTGTATGGCACAAGAGAAAACAGCGATGATGATGGCGAGGATGATGTTCATGATGATAATGATGATGATGATCATCATCATCATCATCAACAACAACATCATGATAATAATGATGATGGTGGTGATGGTGATAGTGATAGTGATGGTGATGGTGATGCTGGTAAAGCTGATGATGATGATGATGTTGATGACGATGATGATGATGGCGATGATGAAGATGATGACGATGATGATGATGATGTTGATGGCAATGAAGATGCTGATGATGATGATGATGATGGTGGCGATGATGATGGTGGCGATGATGATGCTGATGGTGACGTGATGTTGATGACGATGATAATAAAAGTAAAAAAATATAAAAGTATTAATAAGTGACGATAAGTGATGGTGGTGGTGGTGGTGGTGGTGGTGGTGGTGGTGGTGGTGGTGGTGGTGGTGGTGGTGTGGTGGTGGTGGTGGTGTGGTGGTGGTGGTGGTTGATCGTGATGATGATGCATTAGAAATCATTAGAACAGGAGTAATTACCAGTCGCGGTCTCGTGGTGCCTCCTGCCGGCGAACGAGGTCGTCGATCAGCTGCACAATCCTCGTAAAGCCCTCCTGTTCCCCAAGCGTCTGCTCCGTGTTGTACTGCAGCTGTGCGATGCGACGAATCTCTCCTGCCGATACGCACAGCAGGGTTAAGGTCAGCGCATACCTTGACCCACAACCCGAAATCCTACCTCCGTGGTACCCAAAATGAAGGAGTACAGCAGAAGGGCAGTACTGTGGACCTAGATACGTTGCACTTCGGTGAGGTGCGCTTCATAGCGGAGCTCGGCCGGAACCTACTGTTCAGGACCATGTCCTTGCAGCTGGACATTATCATCATGTTCCCAGTGCTTTTGGGCCAGAAATTCCTGCCACTGCCCTGCCATGGCACGCGGCGAAGAGCTGAAGGACAGTGCTGACTCAATTTAAGGGCAAGCTAGAACCCCTGAGCCGCTTCAGTCTTCAGTCCCCCACAGTAAGTAGGAACGGCTTCCCCTTTCTTGAACTTCCACTCAAACCTGGCTAACACCTTGACAAGATCTCCTAAATTCACAAATCCGACAACCCTCTAACATCTGTATCATATCTAGATCATATCTGTATCTATATCACATATCAGATCTCGTATCTGCAATATTTATCCCTAGCCCGACCCCCTCCTCGGCTGGCATTGCCAACATGCTTGGGCCGAGGTCAAGTCTGCTTCGGGATTCGGGTGCTCGGAGATGGGGTCTGCTTTCATGTGTGCTTGAAGGTTTTGGGGTAGGGATGCTTAGGGTTTTGGGCCTTGGGGTTTGGGGTTTAGTGATTTAGGGTGCGCTCAGCAGGACAACTCCTTGAGGAGGATGTATGTTCATACTGTTACATACTTTTAAAAAATCAGAAACAAAAGCGCGTCGAACTCCTCAAGCCTAACCCCCATACGCGGCGCGGATCCTTGAACCCGCACCCCAAGGTGCCGAGCCCTTAAACTCAAGCCTCTGTCCCAAAACTTTCCAAAATCCTATACACGGAACCCTGAACCTCTTCATCCCACCTGAACCGAAAGCCCGAAGGCCCAACCCCAACCAAGCCCTAAGCCCAATGCCATAAGCATCTAAGTGAAGCAAAGGCTTCGAGGGTCGGGGCTCCCAGGGTTGAGGGTTTAGGATTTAGGGTTTTGGGTCTATGGTTTAGGGTTTAGGATTTAGGGTTTAGGGTTTAGGGTTTAGGGTTTAGGGTTTAGGGTTTAGAGGTTTAGGGTTCAAGGATGAGACCGGATTGGGAGCACAGAAGTCTTAAAGGTGATGGGCCGATGGGTCTTCGTGTTTCAGGTGTCCTCACTGGCTCATAGGGTCTGCGCAGGCTCCCCAAGGTCCATCCTCTAATCTTTGTAGGGTTTAGGGTTTAGGGTTTAGGGTTTAGGGTTTAGGGTTACCAAAGCTGCTTTGCACGTTTCTGTCGCGTTGGTAGAAGGGATGTGACGAATGGATTCCTGAGCAAGAGGTCATTGCCTCGAGCTGCAGTTTGAGGCCATGCAGTTGCAAGTGATCTGTTCTCCTCTCTACCGCTGCATGCTGACCCGGTGGATGCGAGGCAACACTCTCATGCGAATAGAGCTCTCAGCTGAAACATTCTTGCACCACAGGTTGACTTCCTGTGCATTCTCCTTAACATATAGCGGCTGTTTTGTCTATCATCCCTCTCATTCCTGAAACCACCAAATGCCAGAGCTTCAGGGATCGGCCGCAAAGATTCTTACCGCTTCGGTTTGATAAGCCCTCGGCTTCATGCAGATCCCAGATCCTTACCCCTTCCCTCAACCAGGAAGGGACTGTAAGACCGTAAGAATTTTCGGGGCACAGCTTTGGGTTCCGGGGTTAAGAGTGGACAGCGGGAAATTTGCCGGACATCGCAACACATCTGTGCCGCATGCAGAGGAACGGGAGCTGCTACGTCGCTTCACGGTCAAATGCCGGCCGTCGCTGCTAACCTGCTAACCCTGACTCGAAAAACTTAGACTTTGAAGTTTTAGCACTTTAATGAAAAACACATGAACTCTCGAAGCAATTTGAGCATAAAGAAACCGCTGTAAGCCTTCACCATCGATCTGCGTCGTCCTCAAGACCACCGCTGGTTAGCGGCATCGCTGGGACAGCGTCTCAGTTTGATGCCAACAGTCTCACCTGCACAGCATGGTCAGAATCTATAGGGACCCCACCCGTGCATTCAAGGCCCCAGCAATTCTCGACCTGAACCCGAGGCTTCATGATTAACCCCACCCTAGATGCAAGATGGAAGCCTGGTATATGCGATTTTCAGTTCGAAGTGAAAGGCACAAAGGGCTTGGTTGCACGTCTACCTGTTGTCCTTTGGCACGACAACCGGCTGGTTGTGTCAGGTTGCACAATGCGCATCGAAAAAGGTGCAGGGATTCTTGTTTCAGATGCCGCTTCAGGCTACTAGGGACGTGTAGGTATACGGCTTCCTGCTTTGAACGACTTCGGATCGTGGACTTTTTGTTCAATGGCCTCTGCCCACTCTGGATATTGGAGTCGAAGGCTTCGAAAGTACTTGGGAGTTTCCGAAAACAAGGGGGTACCTTATTTGGGGTCCTTATAATAAGGATCCTACTATTTAGGGTACTATATTAGGGTCCCCTATTCTCGGAAACTCTCACTTAGGCTGAGCGCTTGACACTTGACATCGCAGGGCTTAAGGTTGGCAAGAGTCCGGAACATGGATAAGGTTACCTCTAGTCCCTCTAGTCTTGCTGAAACCTCCTGGTCAGAGAACCCTAACTAAACACCGCTGCACCCTTTCCGGGTAAGCTTGAAGCTTTAGATGAGTCCAGATCTAGTGGGCGTGTGCCGTACCTGCACAAACCCTGAACGAACCCACTGCTTACGCTGTAAACTAAGCACACAATCCGAGACGAGCTAATCAACACTCAACCCCAACTTCGCGTGTGCTTGCCCCTTTTCTCCCGATGCCGCTGCGAGAGGCCGGTGGTCATCGAGGACGGAGTAAAAAGGATTTTCCTCAACTGCAAGACTCTACTGTTGTAAATGTCCCTAGAAGCTTCTGCAAGGCTCTGTCGAAGACTACGTGGAAAAACCCTAGGACAGCTGTTCTCTTCAGGCTCGGAGGCATTTGTTCTTGGCCGCTTCAGATCAGCGGCTGGGGAAGGAAGCGCTTCCTCCCAGGCCCATGGCAAACCTCTGCTGAGCACTTCTGGGGATATCTTGCGGCTTGGAGTCTAGAGTTTAAGGGTCGGTTTAGGTTTAGGGCTATAGTGTAGCCTGGGATTTCTGGGGAATTGTGGTTTAAGGTTTAAGTGTATTTGAGGCCTTATGTGACTTCCTGGATGAATTGAGGCTGCGGAGCCTGAGTTGGTTCTATCATGCTCTGAGCCTTAAACCCTCTCCCAACTTAGGGTTTAGGGTTTAGGCTGTCTGCCAGCATAGCACCAGAAATCAAGACCCCGCAATAGTTTCAGAGAGCTTATCGCGCACATCATGGTCACTGGTCTGTCTGCCCTGTCCGTCCTGAAAAAATCACAAGAAAACCTGTAAAACTTTTAACTAAAACCCGAAACCCCAACCCCCCCC